TTTTCTTTAATTTGTCTTAATTTATCTATTTTCTTTCTAAACTTTTTTCATTCAAATTTTTTGTGTATTTGTGTATTCCACATTAAACACTGATTTCCTCAGCAGCATTGTTTGAGAGACCCGTACAAGCAGAAACTTATTTGAAACAAAGTAAACAAAAATCAGTGCACACAAAAAGAAACCTAAAGCGTCCGAAAACATTTAAATTTTTCCCAATTTTCCTATTTACGAGCATTTTTAGTAGCTAGTAGCACTGTTTCTTTTTCTGCAGACGCATACACGGCAAGAATTATTGGCACTTGTCCAAAATTCATGGTTAAACAGACCAAACGGTGCGCCGGCAGCCAGCGCTAAGGGGCGGGAGAGAATCGGAGGAGGCTTCTAGCGGAGAGAAGATGGACCTAGCTGGTGGTAGCGTTTGCTATTTTGGCACTTTTTAGCTGGGCATTCTGGCTATTTCTTGCTGCTTGTCGGTCGTTGCTTACTGTTGCTGTTGGTGTTTGGCAGCCGTTGCCTGATGGCTGCTGGCTGCCATTTCTGCTACCATCTCCGCGCGCTGATTTCTGGGCATTTGTTTTTTTTTGTTTTTTTTTTTGTTTAGCGCGTGGCTTAGATTTTGTACTTCTGCTGTGATTTTTTTCAGCATTTTGGTTCTGGTTTTTGAGTTTTTTCTTCAAAGCGTTGTCTGTTTTTATGTATATTTTCTATGTTGGCGGAATTTTATTTTTATCAGCAGCAGTATTAGCAACGCTTGGAGCAGCTATACCCCTGATAGTATTGAGTACATCGCCCTTCTTTAATTCCACTTATACATATGTAAGTAGCTGACGACGGCAGGCAATGGCAAACCGCTTTTAATACAAAAAAAAATATTGGCAAAGTTTTGTTATCAATGCAAGCTTGCAAATTTGTTCAATAGCACGCGTTTGATAGCTGTTATCATATCAATGACATTTCTTTTATTCTCTTTTATGCTTATTTTCGTAACAATTGGGGTATTTTCTAACAAATTACAAAATATGATCGATTTCCAAACACTTTTTTTTCATTTTGTCGTCCTAGATCGACTAAATCTCAAACTGTGCGCCGCCGAGTGTATTTCAGGCATGCAAAAGCTTTTCATAAAATCCATTTGACGTTCGGAGGCGGAGTATAACTGTAGCTCCCTCCATTTGTGTAAGATGCACTCTACAAATTTGAGGAAAAGCTCGGCCTAACACTTAGCAAAAATGTAAGCGCCTCAGGTTTTCAGTATGCATGATTTCTCTGTTGTATATTCCACGAAATCTGGAGCTGTTTTTGCTTTTGTGGTAGCCGTTCTTTTATAGAGGAGGAAGCATCGAATGCCCAGCCCCAAATCTTAACCAGTCTGTGTGGGACTTTAACCCTTATCTTCATGTACGATTACCTTCCCGGTGTTATCGTCGAGTATTATTTTGTAAATAAGACCACCACGCCCTTCACTTTTTGTATGGCTGTGTTCAGAAATGCATCAAGACAAAGTATCAGTCTCTTTTATGTCTAAACTATATTTGATGGAAATGTCATATTTACGCAACTAAGTTCCCATTCGGCATTAAACTGTGGTAGCGCATAGTGAGCATCTTCATAAATTATAGTTTAGAAATAAAAAGGACTGTAGTGCGGGCACTCTGGGTAAAGTGTAGAGTGTCTGGATCAGGAAGACATTTAGCTCGCCGTGCTTTCAGTTTAACGTGTATGATTTCGTTCATCAGCTCTGGAATCGTCTCGGGCTTATTTATATTTAAACTATTTCGGGATTTAGAGATTTTCGGAACTTATTGATATAATAATCGGTTTTGTTATCGATATTTTTATCGATATTGTTATTGATATTTTTATTCATTTTCTTATCGATATTTTTATCGATTTTTATATCGATTTTTATCGATATTTTTATCGATTTTGTTATCGATTTCGCTATCGATATTTTTTATCGAATTTGTTATCGATTTTGCTATCGATATTTTGATGGATGTTATCGATAGAATATAAAGACAAAAATAAAGATAAAGAAAACCAAATAACATAAATGTGATTAGAACGAAAAGGATAGATGTAGGGATGTAGATAGAAAAAAAAACCAAAAATATAACCTTAAGCAAAAGCAGATGTATGTATGTATGTATATATATATTGGTTATAAGACAATCTAGATATGTAACGTAAGTTTCGCATCTCCAGTGTGGCCCAGGCGCACTTACTTTTTTTTGCAACCAGAAACACTAATATACATTTCTGAAGGATTTTGGGGCGCTAATTTTTATATCACGTCAAGTTTTTGAGATATCCTAACCTGAAAATGTGGTCATGTATTACTTTCTGCTTCTTCAGCCCTGGTAGCCTGTCTAATTGCTGTCAAAGATCTGTAACACCCTTGAATGTTTCTGGATTTTCAGGGAAAGTAGTATACAGTAGTGTTTCTTAGGCTCTATCCGATAACGAGAAGAGATCTAGGTGTTAAAGGGAAATCAGTTTATGAGAAACGCTTTCACTATACTATCCACCAAGAAAAAAGAGATATTTTTCCTACAAAGGAAGACAACATCAAGAGGAATTAGATCTAATATGAATTAGTCATAAATTATTCTAAAATAGCAATTCCTTAGAACTAGACTAAATAGGTTTGTAATACGAATTAATGTTATTTTAGGATTACTTTTTTCCAATATCAAGACTATATCAAGTAGCTGTCATATGTTGCAAAACCAGGCACCGTATATATTCATAAATTGACAGCTCGCAGCATCATAAACTTATTCGGCGCTAAACCCCACCAGCAAAGTAAATGAGTGGGTGTGGGCGAGAGATGAGTGTTGTGTTGCTCGCTCCAAGAAACTGTCAGGCATCAGCAGTAAAACCAAAATAAACACTAAATGGCAAAATAAAAAATTTAGAAACGTATACAAGGTACATACATATATAGCTACAAACATTGTTGCAGATGCATTTGCACCAACACATCGACGAGTACCAAGTGCATGCAATATACTAAATACATTCGTTTTGGCCGCTTTGACTCGTTCATGTCCAAGCATTCAGACTAAGCATTTGCTTAGAAGCTTCTTAAAATTCGCATTATTGTTGCACCAGCTGTCAATATTTTTGTTTCGTAGTGCCTTAACTCTTTGCTTTTTTGATTTTCTATTTTTTTGTTTTTGCTCATCGAACTTTTGCTGCTGTTTTTCGTTTGGCCACCAAATGCCTGGCTGTCATGTCCGCGCAAATTCGTTCACCGCCGTGTTGGTCCACCGCCTGGCCGTTGTGCGATCTATGTATGTAGTACGTATCGACGTGCGAGGTCAGTTGGCCTGCGGTGGCTGTTGATTTCTTCACCTTCTTCTTCTTCCTCTGTCCCTGCCACAAAGCCACTCAACGGCTCGCACGCTGCGCATCATTCATTGGTCATTGATGGTTATTTTTATACAAATTAAAAAGGCTGTCAAGTGTTGATGCCACTGTGCCGCCCTGCCACGGCTGTTGTTGTTGCTTTTGCTGCTGCTGGTTATTTGGTTATTGTTTACCGGCTTGCCACAGCTATCGCTGCAATTGTGGCGTCTCTACGTTCGATTGCTTTGCTGTTGTTAATTTTGTTGTTGCGTTGAGTGACATTTATTGCCAGCACCATTGCCATCGGCAATATGCTTGCTGCTTGCCGCACTGTCGAACTGTCATGTTGTTTGCTACTGCTGGGTTGCTTTTATGTACATTAGGGTGTGCATCGGAAATTTTTTTTTGAAATTTCAAGACGCTACCCCCTAATGTCCTTCCTTTTTATGCGAAATATTATTGCCTATTTTTATAGATTTTTCAAAAATCGTTTAGAGGTCGCGACTTGCATTTTAGGTCTAAAAGTACGGTTTTGTAGATTTATCAGTTTTTGAATGACTATTTTTCATTAGATAGCAAAGATCGAAGAGGATTTTTTTTATTTGCCTTTAAAGTGATGTATAATAATCTATTGTCAGACTTGGGCTGTTAGGAGTTTTCATCGGGAAAATAAAAAAGAAAAACACTTCTTATTAATTTTTTAAATTTCCGCAATTTTAAAATATGTAGTACTATCAAAAATTAAATCTATTTTCAAATACACTGGCACCTCATTTATTGCGATCGTATAAGAATTGTCGCAGTTAGACGACTTTTCTTAAATACGGCCGTATTTTCTGGTCTAAAATGACAATTTCAAAAAAAAAAATTGTCGATGGGCACCCTAATGTACATCTGTAAATATGGATGCGCGTGTGTTGCGGCGACGGACGTTACATTGTGCGCCCAACAGCAAAATATTTCACTTGGCGTTTTTTTGAGGTTGCATTGTTTTTATTTCAATTGAACTTTTTTTGTTGTTGTTTTTTTTTCTTTTATCATTTTCCTTGATTGTTTTGTTGTTGTTGCTGCGGCTGCTGTAGCAGCTAGTGTTGCCGCGGCACATTTTTTCACCACTCAATTCAATTTGTATTCTATTTTTGTGGGCCAAGGCAGTTGCTGCTGGCACGCCGCTGATGGATGGATGATGCAAAAGCAGGGGGACAAGTTGGGTTTTTGTTTGGATTACGGTACAATGAATTTTAAAAACAGCCGACAACAAATAAAACAAAACAAAATCAACTTAAATTAAATCAAATAAAACTAAATTCTATTCAATCACATAAAACTATAAAAAGAAAAATAAAACAAAATAAAAACAAAAAATTTTAAAAATTTAAAAAGTATTTAATAAAACAAAAATGCATAAAATAAAAAATGCAACTTTTAATGAGCTTTCTTTTGAATTTGTTAGATTTTGTTTAGTATATTTTTTTTCTTTATGCATTTTGAAATGCGAACTTTACTGAAATGTCAATAGTTTGAAAGGAAAACATATTGAAAATTCTATTATTTTATTTTGTATGCAGCATCTATCTACTACATACATCATTTTAAGTGTTTTCGAAATCGATTTCATACAACTTTTTCTATCTTTTATCTTCTTCCAGCCACGTTTATGGCAAAAATTGCGCCTATTCAACAGCCAAATTAAGGTAAGACGTTTCATTATATTTTTTCTACTAAGGAAAATCTATCACATGTTTATCAAAAAATTATAATAGATGCAGTATTTTTTTAACTATAGAAAATTGTTTTAATTTTTTTAGTTTAGAATTTTTTATAATTATTATATTTCAAATCAAAATAAAGTTGAGGAAACAAATTTTACAATCAAATGACCTTTTTAAAAAAAAATAAAGTAGGCTTAAAAAGCTTCATAAATTGACGTTTTCATACATATTTCAATTTATAAACCTTTTCTAAAGCTACTTTATTTTTTATGAATAAGGCTAAACATTTTTTAATTTTCAAAAATTTTCATAACTTTAATACTTGTTTATATATGGTTTACATATTCTTATTCTTGTTTTTATTAAATTTTTTTAAATAAAATTTTTGTTAAATTTTTTAGAAAATTTGTGTATTTGTTTGTAGTTTCATTTATTTTTTTTATTGACTGAAATACTTTTATTTTATAAAACAATTACTAGAAAATTAAAGAACAAATAATAAAAAAAAATTAAAACAAATACATATTTAAGTTAAATATCGTTTACAGTTTATTCTTATAGAAATTTTTTAGAATATTCTTATTTTAATTGATATCTTTGTGTTGGAAAAAGACTTTTATGTTAAGTAACGTAAGAAAAAAATTTTGTAAAAAAAATTCTAAATAATAATTTTAAAAATTAATATTCCGACCAAAATTTATTTATTATTTTATTTATTCTTTATTATTATTTATTATTTTCAAATTCTTAAACTGTTTTTATTGAATACTTAGCAAACTTTTTTATTTTAAAGTTTTTTGACCATGGAAAAATTTAGTATCTAAAAAATTAAAAATAATACTTTCAAAAAATATTATTTTTACCAAAATTTATTTATTCTTTTATATACATATGTATTACATTTATTATTTATTATTATTACTTCTTTTGTTTATTATTTTTCAAATTTCTCATACTTTTTTATTTAACACTTAGCAAAACTGTTTATTTTAAAGTTTCTTACGATTAAATCAGTATCCAAGAGTTTTTGAATATGCATTTTTTATTAAACATTTTTTATTTGAAATTTCGAATAAATAATTTATGATTTTTTTTTTTAATTTTGTTATTTTTTGGCATATCACAATTTATATTCTTCAGTTTTATTGGGCTTGAGGCCTTTAATAATGAAATTTTTGTAGAAAAACAGCAATAAATGATTGAAAAAGCAGAACACGTGAATTATTGTTGTTTTTCCATAAAAACTTTCATCAGAAATGGTCTCAAGCTCAATAAATTGTCAGATATAATTTTTTAGAAAAGTATTTTAACACTTGTTATAAAATAATTTTGAAATAGTAAAAACAAACTACCAAGGAAATATTGCTAGTTTATTATTATTCACAATTTCCGGATTTTTTTTATTATAATTTCTTTATTTTTAATTTTTTTAGTTTTTTTTTGAAGAATTTAGAAAAAATAAAAAAAAAATTATAATTTAAATAAAAAGGGTTTATAGTTTTTTCTTATTCAAAATGTTTGAATTTTTTTTAACTTTTTAAATTAAATAAAAAAGAGAATATTTTTTTGTTAATTCTTACTCAAAATTTGTTATTTTTTATTTTATTATAAAATCCTTATTTCTACTTTTTTAAGTATTCTTAGAAAAACAATTTACGAAAAATTTTATGAAGAGTTTAAAAGGAAAAAATTTTAATTAAAAAGGCTTTACTAAAAATAATTTCTTTATTTTTCTTTTTTAAGTTTTCTTTAGAAAACCAATTTACAAAAAAAAATTTTAAAAAACGTTAAAAGAAATAATTTTAATTAAATAAGGTTTTATCACAACAACAATTCAAAAAGTTAGACTTTTAAACTTATTAACCAACATAAAAGAAATATTTTATCGTAGTTTTTTAATTATTTCTGCTTCAAACTTACTTTTCGCAACTTGAAATTTTTGTTTATAGTTTGTCCTTATACAAAACGTTCCATTTTTTTTTTTTGTTTTAGGTTTAACTAAAATAATTGTTAGGCTATTCTGTCCAAATTTGTTATAATCTGTTTTATTTCATTATAATTCCAACTTTCTACATAGAAGTTTTTTAGAAAAACCATTTACAAAAAATTAAAACCGAAATAATTTAAACAAAAAACCGTTTATGGAAAAAAAATACTTTATTCTTATTCAAAATGTTTGTTTCTTTTTTTTTATTTTTATTTTTTTGAAATTTGTTACAGAAACTGAAAATAATATTTCTTCCTATTTTTTTAAATCATGTGTTCCATTTTTGCCTATTTTTTTAAAACAAATTTTTGTCACTCATGCGTGCCCACAACCTTACCCTCTCTATAGGCATATTTTCGGCACTTCGGCATTTTTTCTCAAAGTGTTAAACATTTTTCACATTGTAACCACACTTCCTGCACCCCCACGTTTCACCTTCCAACCATTGATGCCACCCTATTAGCCATCCTTGGCACGAACAGCACCATTGGACTGGCATCGTCGGCATGGCACCAGCACTACTGACGTCTATTGGCCACTCATATGCACACGTATGCTAGTATATGTATGTACATATGCTTTTGGCTTCTAGCATCTGCTTTCAGCCTGTTGACGCCACCAGCTTCGATGGGAGCACTTTGCGGCCGTTGTCATTTCACTTTGTTTCTATTTGTTTCGGCGCTTCGTGTTGGTGACGCTGGCAACCTCTTATGGAGGCAGTGGTTTTGATGGCCTCGAAGATCCAACCGCAGCAGTCACCTCTAATGCCGCTTACTTCTATGTACAGACAATGTCTTCTATGTCTCACTTGTCCCCTTGATAACTTGGAGTGGTTGCTGCTACTACTCTTTGTTAATTTACGCGCGCGCTTGCGAGTGTTTGGCTGTGTGGTTTATTTGCTTGGCTGTGTGTGTCACTGCTGCCGCTGCCGCTGCTGTTGGCGTGCATTACTATGTAAATTTAGTCTACTCATGCACAAATGTAGAAGAAGTGTGAAGGTGTGTTGTTAGTGCGCCTGCTTGTCACCGGATGTTAGGCGTGGTGCTCTAATTTCCTTTGCCGTGACGCCATCTTTCATCGTCATCATCATCGCCTTCATCATTTTCTCGTCTTTGTCGTAGTCTTTACTTGCGCTGCAGCGACTACTCGAAAGCTTGTTGCAGTATTCGTTTCTTAACTTAACTCAGCAAATAGGCGACTCGATTCATCAGCGCAAAGGCACTGCCGCACTTCCTCGGCAAACAAACGCACTTGCATACATGCATACGTCTATATGTACGTATATGTATGTGAACATCCATCCGTATATCATATCCTTTTTCGCACAAACCTTCTCTGTTCCACATTTGTTGAATTTGTTTGCATTTGCGGTTGAACGCTTGCGCTGCCTACATATCTCAAATGGCCTTTTCGTACCAGCTGCTACCACCCTAAAGTCTCCAAGCAGTTCAACAGCCTCTTCGTATGCTCGCTGGCATCTCCCTCCAGCTACTTTACCATCCCACGTTCTTCTCGCTCCTTGCCTGCTCTGTTTAGCAGACATTTAGTTCCCTCTGCTGTCACTCGCTCGCCGCTTTCCACTTGTATTTTATTTTCTTTTCAAGTCGATTTTTTTTGCGGTTCACCATTGCTGCCTCTGGGTGCTCTGGGTGCCCCTCTACGCGACACTCCTGCGCGATGGCTTTTCATTTATGTTTGTAAGTAAATTTCTGCTGCCTCGTCGCTTATTAAAAAATGTTCCACATTGTATATTTTAGTGTGACAGCGTTTTTATTTAGCCTTATGCGCTTGATTAGCTTGGAAAGGTAGCAGCGTGGTGCGAATTGAAAAGAAGTGGGTACTCGAGTAGCGTACCTAAGTGCTGGCGAAATATGTTTTAAAATTTTTTTTTTTGTTGGAAATTGCTTTTACAGCTCCCAAGGGCATGCCGCTACCGGTTGGTTGGCAGTAAGCAGGACAAACAGCTTTTTATTGAAATTTCTGTACATAAATTGGATGGAAATGCAAAATTTGGCATAATTTGCGGCAGCAATGCTGGTTACGCACAGAGGGCATAAATTTCAGGTCAGGAGTCTTTAAATGCTTTGTTTCAACTTTTTCTTAAAAAAAATAAACCAAAGCAAAGCATACAACTTTTTGATGTTCCATAAAGTGGTGGGTGGGCAGCTACGGCTTTCAAATATTTTTGGCATAGAGTGGCCATGTGTTCTTTTTTTTACAAATTAAAAAAAAAAATACAAAAACACTTAAATGCTCAATAATTTCTATCTCTGTGCCTAACATTCACAATATTCCTGTTTGACAGCCTGATTTATGGAAATGAATGAATGCCTAGGGTGGCCAAGTGCGCATAAAAATATTTTTTATGATTTGAAAGTAAACGGAGTAAAATTTTTGGCATTACATAAAGTGGTTTGCAGTTGTAGTTTCTAACATCTACTGGATAGAGTTGCCAAGTGCTGTTCTAACAAAACAAGTTTTGGAAAAAAATTGTACATAAATTATTATTTATGTGTATAAAATAATTTGTACCATATCCACCCAGATGTGCAAATGTTTATCATAAATGTAATTTTGATTTAGAATTCAATCAAAAA